TCCATAGTGGTTGTACAAGTTTACATTCCCACCAACAGTGGAGGAGTGTTCCCTTTGCTCCACATCCTCTCCAACATTGGTTGTCATTGGTGTTTTTGATCTTATTCATTCTAACAGGTGTAAGGTGGTATCTCAGAGTCGTGACAAAACATCTTTTAAAAAAATAATAATAAAAGAAAGAAAGAAAGAAAAGAAATAGTCCAAAATGCGAAACTTCCCCGTGGCCATGCTCACTCACCACAGCATTTTTTATCGTCGTGAGAGGCTGTAAGTGGCTTATAGAGCAACAGCCCAGCACTAAAGTATGTGTTCTGAGTGGCTCGTGTGGTGTTACTGAAACGATATTGTAAACATTATCCAGCCATCAGGCAAGTTCTTGTGGAAGAGACATCATGGAGGTGAACCAGGCACCACTGACACTGCAGCTCTGCTTGCACAAAGCACTAGAAGGCAAGCTGGTGCAGGGGCACATGCCTGAGGCAGGAGGATTACTACATAGACATCCTGTCTTCCCCTGTCAAAACCTGAAACAAGGGGATGGGGATTTAGCTCAGTGGTAGAGCGCTTGCCTAGCAAGCGCAAGGCCCTGGGGTTGATCCTCGGCTCCAAAAACAAAAACAAAACAGAACAAAAACCCCTGAAACAAACAATACCCAGAAGGAACGCCCCCCAAGACTCTACCAGAGAGGCTGAGGCAGTGTGGATGCCCTTTCCTTGGTTTGTACTTCCCAAGGTGACTAACACAGGGAACTTGCTTCCACCTCTGCCTCCTCTTTCTCTTCCTTTTTCTTGTCTTTGTTTGTGTGCTTGCTTTTTTCTCTTCTTGTTTTTATTTTTGACAGACTGTACACTCTAGGCTAGCCCAGAGATCACTCTGTAGACCAGGCTGGCCTCAAACTCAAGGCCGTCCTCCTGCCTCAGCCTCCAAAGTGCTGGGATTACGGAGATGAGTGCTCATACCAGTCCGTCTATTTTCATTTATAAAAGCGACTCACTTAAACAAGATGAAGTCATGAATATTGGCAGAGTCATGAATGAGTCAGAGATGGTGCAGCCTGGACCACCCTCCTGGCCGAGACCCTTCTGCTGTGTGCGACTGCCTCCTGGAGAGTTTCCTTAGCAGCTTCCTCCCAGCATGCATTGTTGGCTCCATGAGCCATGTGAACCAGAGGATTACTGAAATAGACCTGGACTCCAGCCTGTTGACCAGCACTTCGGTGAGTTAAAGCAGATGCCGGAGCTGAGGCAAAGGCCTTTAGGAACAAAGGGCCCCAGGAAGGGTCATCAAGGCGTTGCCCTGAGGGCCCTGCATATCTCCCAAGGCATGTTTGTTCAGCTGAGATTTCAAAGTTCACTTTTTAAAAATTAGCGAACTTAAAAAAAAAATGTGTGTGTGTGTCTCTGTATGCCACCTGTGCGTGGGTGCTTTTGGAGGCCAGGAGAGGGCACTGGATCCCCTGGAGCTGGGGTTACAGGTGGTTCTGAGCCAATGTGAAGTATGGGTACTGAGCTCAGGTCCTCTGAAAGAACAGCAAGTGCTCTTAACTGCTTAGCCATCTCTCCAGCTCCAGCAGGCTGCAGCGGGGGTGGCGGCTGCTGCTGCTGCTTCTTCTTCTTCTTCTCTTTTTTTTTTTATTTTTTTAAAAATATTTTTTTAACTTTATTTTATGTGCATTGGTGTGAAGGTGTCAGATGCCCTGGAACTGGAGTTACAGACAGTTGAGAGCTGCCATATGGGTGCTGGGAATTGAACCCGGGTCCTCTGGAAGAGCCTCCAGTGCTCTTAACCTCTGAGCCATCTCTCTAGCCCAGGCTGCTGCTGCTGCTTCTTTTTTTTTTTCCCGAGACAGGGTTTCTCCGTGTAGCTTTGGTGCCTGTCCTGGAACTCACTCTGTAGCCCAGGTTGGCCTCGAACTCACAGAGATCCGCCTGTCTCTGCCTCCCAAGTGCTGGGACTAAAGGCGTGCACCACCACCGCCGCCACCCGGCTAACCCAGTCTGCTTCTTCTTTTTTTTTTTTTTTTTTCTTACAAAGGAAAACATTTAATTGAGGTGGTGGCTTACAGTTTCAGAGGTTCAGTCCATTATCATCCTGGTGAGGAGCATGGTGGTGTACAGGAAGACATAGTGCTGGCTACATCTTGATCAAAAAGCAACAGGAAGTGGACTGACTCACTCGGCATGGCTTGAGCCTATATGAGACCTCAAAGCTCTTCCTCCAACAAAACCACACCTACTCCAACAAGGCTACCCCTCCCATTAGTACTTCTCCCTTTAGGGGTCATTTTCTTTCTTTCTTTCTTTCTTTCTTTCTTTCTTTCTTTCTTTCTTTCTTTCTTTCTTTCTTTCTTTCTTTCTTTCTTTCTTTCTCTCTCTCTCTCTCTCTCTCTCTCTCTTTCTTTCTTTCTTTTTTTTGATAATTATTATTATTATTTTTTTTTTTTTAGAGAAAATAATTTTTTCCTTTTATTTTATTTTA